ACGGAAATTAATGAGCCTAAGCCTATCCATGTGCAGTTGCTGATAGCAAAATCAGAATGTCAACCTCATACCAAATCCTTAATCCGAGAAAGTGGTCCAATACACAAGGATAAAAGTATAAAACTACCGAATTTGATTAGGGCAATGCGTATCATCTAATACTAAGTTACTAACTCAACTGAATTGGTAATAATATAAATCAAGGAAGAACTAAATGGGGGAAAGGGTTTGCGGTTTGAGAGATACGAACCCCAGAGGGGAGCGGCACGACAATGCCGGCGCGGGAGGCGGGGGTGCCGGGGAGGCGGGCGCGCCACTCGTAGCGCGTGACGCCGAGGCCGCGCTCCCGTGCGCGCTCGCGGCGGAGGCGCTCCTCGGCGGAGAGGTTCCCCTCCTCGAGGCCGCCGCCGTCGGGGGGCCCGAAGAGGAGCTCCTGGCGCCGCTGCGCGGGGTCGAAGGCGTACACATTCCGGTGAAGCGTGCCGTCGGGGCTGTACAGGAAGGCCACCCGGCGGTCGTCGGGGCTGAAGCTAAGCGCCACGGGCGCCCCGTAGCCCGGGAGCGGGTGCTGCACGATGTCCAGGAGCTCCACGCTCGGGGCGGCGGCGCAACCCCCCGCCCCCGCCGCCGCGCCGTCCCCGTCCCCGCTGCTGCCGGCGCCGACGAAGGCGTCGGCGAGCGGCATCCGGGCGAGCTCCTCCTCCTCCTCCTCCCCCGCGTCGAACCGCGGCTTCTTGCGGCTGTTCCCCTGATCCGACGACGACCTCACCGCCCCCGCCGCCTCGCCCGATCGCATCGACCGACCGCCACAGGCAGCCGCCGCTACCCCGCAAGATCGCCGCCCCAAGAAAACCTCCCCCCTCCCTCCCCAACCCGCGATCCTCCACACCCAACAACAAAGGCGGAGGAGAAGGTATGGTGCCCTTTGAAGGCAGACGAGGATCTCAAATCCGAGGCGGAGATCGGAGTGGAGGAGGAGAGAGAGAGAGAGAGAGAGAGAGGATCGGAGGAGAGGTGGAGGGCGACTTGGAGTTGGTCGTTCGTTCCAAGAAGGGGAGGAGAGAGAGAGAGAGGCGGCGCTAATTGTAAGTAAGTTTGTTGAGAGGAGGGAGGCCTTTGGGATGTCTCGGTTTTTCGTTGGATTGGATCATGGATGGAAGGAGGGCGGTGTGAGGAGGGTGGTGAGTGAGTGTGGTTGCTTTGCTTGACTGGGTCTGGTCTTTCTTGCCCTTTGCCTCTCTCCAATTCTATCCTAGGCTTCCATCGGTTGCCATTTTGCTTAAAATGGCTTATTTGGTTTATTAGAAAATTAAAGTTAATTTATAAGTAAAACTTTTGTAGATTTGTTCGTAGCGACTTAAAAGCCAACATTAACAAAAATTACGTTAAAAGCATTTCAAAATCAACTTCAAAATCAAGTTCAAAAATTCAAATTTTAGCTTATTCTTTGGCTGTTTAGGCCAAACGATGGGGCTGCTATACTCTCTTTTTTTTGTTGTTGTTGTTGGATAAGAGGAATTTGTAATGGTTAGTTGTCTTGAAATTAACTGTTCTGTAGATATAAAATATCATACTTTCCAATGATTGGATCTTTCTTGTCTCGAGATGAATTTGACCAAATTATCTTCCATGTGCTTCTTTTTCGTCTTTAACATCCTAAATAGTCTACCTGTCTTGTGTTAATTTTGGTACCATCCTTATTCCAAGCACAGTTATTTGTTATGTGTTTTTTAATAACGTTGATATAAACCTTAGCTTGTGTCCATAGTTCTACATATTGAGTTTTTTTTAAAAAAAATTGGTTAAAAGTTCTCTAAAAATTAAGTTATATATTATTAATTATGGACTAAAATTCTGCAAAGACACTTGGCACGTGTATGCCACCTTAGTAAACATGGATAAGGAGGAATGATTGCACATGCAAGGACATATGTATGAGAGATGGAACTACCGGTGTGTAGTAATGCACTAATGCGCCAGTATCAATAGAAATTAAATAATTCCGGCAATCCTAGAATACCAAGGTCTGGCTGATGATTTTCTCGATTGACTTGAGCCAAGAGCATCCAGACTTCTTCACCTGGCATCGGGAGAGCCCTGGATGCTACTCGATGTGATCTGCTTACAATGCGATGTTCTTTGAGAGTGTCAACTTCCCAACATTCCTAATTTGGGAGAGAAAAGCCCCTAGCGTTGCTAGTACTTTGCATGGTTAGTTGCTAACTGACGATGTTGGATGACCGATTGGCTGAGTAAGCGAGGTTTGCCTCACCCAGCCTTAAGTGTGCTTTATGATCAACAGGAAGAAACAATTGATCACATCGAAACATGTATCTCATCAATTTTGGCAGCTGATCCTGATCGCCATCGGGCATCCATGCTTCTTTGCAAAAAAAAAAACTTTCTTCCTCTCATGGTGGTGTGAGTGCAAGAAGAAAGTAAGCGGGTAGCTTCACCGAGGATTCGACACCATCGTCACTTTAGCCACCTGGTTGATTTAGAAGGAAAGGAACAATCGAGTGTTTAACCAATGGCAACAGACCTAGACCGAAGTGACACGTGATGCGGAAAAAGATGTGCTTTGGTGTGAAGTTGGGCTGCTAAAGTAGCATCACAATATAGTATCTTGGTCGCACAATGGATGTCATGATAGATAATCTTGTTTACACTTTGTGTTTATGTTTGTTTTTCTTTTTCACTTGTTGGCTGGGTTAGCAAGATGCACATTACCCTCTTCTTAATACAAAATAAACACACATCTTATGCATATTCTGCCCCCAAAAACAAATAATTTTTGTCTAGAAGCACTGTAGTTTGTTATAAATTTACAACAACTTTCAAGCGGACTAATACTTGTCTCATGGGCGGGGGTGCTAGCCCTTGCTAGATAGATCCGGTAGCCTTTTCAAAATTAAACCTATAAATGGGAGACCTATCATGCACATGTGAGGACTAAAATAGTAAAGAAAAAAAACCCTATGTCGATTTTGTTTCTAATTTCGAATAATTCTAATACGAATAGTATACGGAACGAAAATGGTGGTATGCACATTGAGGAAATTCCTATATTTCTTCCTCACGCAACACTCCATCAGCAACTTAGGTCTTGTTTGAGGAGCTTCTAGTAACTTCTCTTAGAATCTAAAGTTTTCCAAATACTGCAGATTCTTACCTAGCAATGGTGGATTAGGCTCATCATAAAAGCCCATAAAGCAATTGAACCAGCCCAACAATTGCATGTTACTGTGCTACATGCACCCAGCCATCCCACACGTGCAATCCCCACCTCCGCTCCACCCGAGCCTCGTATTGGTAGTTCAGTGGCATTGTCTTAGCATCTCTCACCCAAGCGTGCCGTGCGCCAAGCCAAATCTCGCCTCCCCCCTCCTCCTCCTCGCCCTTGCCCTGTTCGTCATCCCACTCTCCGCTCCCCTCTACTGCTGCTCCATGGCCCATTCCTCTTCGCAACCATTGTCCCTGTCCCCGTCCACGGTGGTCGCACGCACGCCACTCGTCCCGGTTCTCTTCGTGATCGGCGACTCCACGGCTGATGTCGGCACCAAAAACTACCTCGGATAACTCACCCGCGCCGACCGCGAGTTGTACGGCCTTGAGTTCGACACTCGCCACAACACGGGGCGCTTCTCCAACAGTCACATCCCCATCGACTACATCGGTATGTATCTATGTATGTGTCGTCCCCTTCTCGGCACTATGGCTAGCTCGAGGACATCCTAGCTGGTCTACCGAGCATAAGGCAAACTGGCGCGTGCTAACCATGACAGGGTCCCGATCATGAATTTGTTGGCGACTTCGATAGGGAATGATCACTCTTGCAATAGCTGAAACCCCACTTCTCCAACATGGGCTCTCGCACCAATCTTGATCAAGACAACATCATGACCGCATATTATGGAGAGTTGTTGAAAACTGATCGCCAGGTGTTTGAGACTCAACTTGAAGAATTGCTTCAAAAGATGGCTTCGTACTACCGTAAGACGAGGCAAGGCATCATCAAGCAACAAAAATTCATGTTACCCATCCATGCAAAATCAAAGGTAACAACGATTCTAGCAGTGCCTATTCTAACATATGAAGTTGTGATGGTGATGTTATTTCTAGTTTAAATAATCGGTTTACTTCTTTGAATACTACCTTTGAGAAAACCTTTAGTACTACCTTGGAAAGCCCTAGATGATCACATGAGTGAGTTAGAGAATCGACTAAATAGCCGGTTCCTTGGTGGTGCATGTATTTCATGCAACAACGAGCATATGCATGGTATTCCTTCATATTTTCATATACCAAAATTTTCTGTACAACAAGATTGGCCGATGAAAAATACCCACAATTCCCTCGATACAATAGATCCTAGATTCACTCCTACGATACTGTATGCTGGTCCGACCGATGTGTTATTGCTGGTCAGACCGGACGCATCGATCGGACCGACGGGTGTAATACCACCAGTCCGACTAGAGGCAGCAGCCGATCCGATTGGAGGGACATCACCGGTCAGACTACGCTCGGCATGTTTCGTAGAATCAGCTCATGTCTGGTGCTCCTCTAAAAGACATTGACATGTGGGGTCCACGGGCTGACTCAACAAGATTGGATAAACTGCCTCCTAAACCGTTCAAGGAGTCAATTTGTAATGGTTTTGTGAGTTGGAGGATAGGTTATAGGGATGCGATTCAACCATGGGCATGAGTTGAGGGAAGCAAAGTAGACTTAGGGCCTGTTCACTTTGATGAAAAAAAAAACCTTACCAAATTTTGGTAGGCAACTTGCCAAAATTTTGGCAGGATTTCTTATATAGTTATCAAAATTTGGCAGCAAATTAAATATAGTCACTTTTTTGGCAAATTTACTAAAATTTGGTAAGGTTGAAAATGACATCAAAGTAAACAGGCCCTTATTACCCACGGGAATGGTGTGGGGTGGGCTGGTAATATAAGCCCAGAAACCAATCCATCCAGCCCAGCAACTGCGAGGTCGGCTGCTAGTCTAACGTGCACCCAAGCCATCACCCCACACGTGAAAAATCCCCGCTCCACCCGCGCCGCGCCGCGCCCAGGTAGTTCAGCCGCGCGCCAACCCAAGCTCGCTCGCCGGCCGGAAATGGCGCTCCCCTTCCTCCTCCTCCTCGCCTTCGCCCTGCTCTTCCCGCTCTCCGCTCCCCCGCGCTGCTGCTCCGCGGCCCCCGCCTCCTCGCCGCCCCCGTCCCCGCCCCCTTCCCCTGCGGCGGCGGCGGCGGCCCCGCGCCGCACGCCGCTCGTCCCGGCGCTCTTCGTGATCGGCGACTCCACGGCGGACGTCGGCACCAACAACTACCTCGGCACGCTCGCCCGCGCCGACCGCGAGCCGTACGGCCGCGACTTCGACACCCGCCGCCCCACGGGGCGCTTCTCCAACGGCCGCATCCCCGTCGACTACATCGGTACGCGCCCCCCACCTTCTCGATCGGCGGCGCCATGGCTGTGGCCCCTTTGCTCTCTCGTGAATCCTCCCCCCCCCCGCTTCAAAGGTTGCAGGTGGTTCTGGAATCGTCGATCCGATGCTGCTTTGCCTCTCGTACGCCTATGGATGCAGCATGTTGTGGGTTTAGTGTAATCTGGGTTTTGGGTTTCTGGTATACGAAGGTTTTGCTTAGTTGTTGGTTCCTATGAATTTGGGGCATCTGATCTCATACATCGGGGGTATGTGGATTTTTGCCCAACAATTGCTGAAGCTGAAGAGTAATCAGTTCATAGCACTCTCCTACACAGCTGACCACCTGGATCTCACATACATAGACTCCTGCGGCTTCCTCTCCTTGATCTCACATAGCAATGTTGTGGGTTTAGTGTAATCTGGGTATTTGGGTTTCTCGCATGCGAGGGGCTTGCTCAGTTGTTGGTTCGTCTGTGGGTTTCTGCCGAACAATTGCTGAAGCTGAAGAGTAACCAGTTTTGCAGCACAACCACCACAGTCTGGGCATCATTTGATCCTGCTGTTCTTAGCACTCCTGCAGAGCTGACCACCTGGATCTCACGTATCTATATAGAATCCTGCGGCTTCCTCTCCAAATCAGTATCCAGTATCCACCACCGTTATCAGCCGTTGAGGCAATGCATTGGCAGAATGCCAGAACATTAAGAAGTGCCATCATAATGTACACCATTAGTCCATGCATCCAGAAAACATTGCCAGAATCCTGCAATGTATCCATTTGATAGTCCTGAGTCCCGACCAGTTGTCTACATGCTCCAGTCTCTTTGCCACCACACACTGTTAAATCTCTCTTGTCCAATGTCCACCACATTCTGGACAGTTTCAAGGTCCTCACAGGAAGCACAGCTGCACAACCTTTGTTAATGTTGCTTTAAGAAAGTCATATCTACTCATTAGTTTCTTTGGGAGAGTAAGGAGGGAAAAGGCATAGGAAAGAAACATTTAACTAGGGCTACTGGCTCACTATGTGAAAGATGTTTCCCTTCAATTTCATTTAGCTGGTGTTCTTTATCTCTTTTGCCCGTCTCTGTCAGTACTTATGTTTTTCATGAATCAATAGTATCTTGTTCTTTCTTCTGTTTTTAAATTATTTTTTCCGTGATTTCTTAATCTTAGACTTTTTTGTGCATTTGCAGCAGAGAAGCTGGGGCTTCCTTTTGTGCCTCCATACCTTGAACAGAACATGCGCATGGGTGTCGGCAGTGTCGACCTCAGCAACATTGATGGGATGATACAAGGTGTCAACTATGCATCCGCGGCAGCTGGCATTCTCTCCAGCAGTGGTTCTGAGCTGGTTTGTCCTCCTAACTTCCCAACAACTCTATTTCACGCTTATAATCTAGCAGGAATGTCTTTGTGAGACCCTTCTCTAGAGGACGAATCAGAAGGAGGGTGTTTCAACAACAGACTAGAAGCAATGACTCTTCTCATAGTGTCTACATCCTCTCTAGTTAGGAAGAATACTTGCTCAACCATTTGAACTAATGCTGAAAGATTCTCCTGTTCGGCTGCTCCCTTCCTTCCATGTGTTCCAACTAGTGTGGATTATCAGGGCATCAAATTCCCTTCTTAGTTCCTAGGAATTCATGACTTATATATGCTTCCTACCAGATGTGAGATTGTCTACACGAGACGATTGATATGCTGGTGCTGATGGGGGGTTTATTTATGCTGCTGGCCTTGTCCAAGTTTGCTTGTGAAGCTACAGTGCTATAAGTTGTATGGTTGTTTTATTTTCCTGCACGCATAAAGCAAAAGGAGATATATGTAGCCATCTACTCAAAGCTAATTTATCATAATTTTTTTATTGTCTGAAACTAAAAAACTGCATTTGTTCTATACTATGGCTTTTGGGATGATCAAGGAGTTAGTAAGAATCACTGATCCGGCACCAATGTGATGAAATTGATGTATATCATCCTGAACATTCCATTTTCATATCAATCTTTATTCCTGCTTATGTTGTTGAATCTCCAATCTTTGTGCCCAAAACAACAAAAACTTGTGGAGCTGCAAATGCTAATTTTGTCATTTCAATAAAACATCATGGTGGTGTCTAAAGAGGAGAAATGTTTACGTATGAACATTGCTGCAAAGTTTTCCTTTATGTGGCTATATGTTTTAACTTTCTATAAAGGATTGGAGCCTCTTGGTTAGAGTCAAGCTTGTTGATTTGCATACCTTTTCATTATTCTTAAATGTACTTGAAACTAAATCGACATGATCATTAACTATATAACACCAGTCTAAAGAACACCAATCTAAAGAACACACTTAATGCTTCTCTATGAAGGTTTCTCTTTTGGTATGTAATACTTGCTCATCGGATGTATCCTTTTTTGTTACTATTTTGTCTCGTGAACTATACATTTGAAGATTATTTTGTGGTGGTATTCTTTACTACTGCGGCATTCCAGCAGCTGTAAAAGTATGTGCAATTATACTGTTAAAAAATCTCCAACATTGGCAGTCCCCTAGCTTGGAATCTGTCGATATTTTCTGTGTTTATGTTATGATTTCTTGCAAACATATTTTAGATTCTTAAATTTTAATGGCGTGGTTGTTCTAGCTTAAATATGTTTAGAACAAGGGATGTGACACCTTTACTTTGTGCAGAATAAACCTTCATGCTGATCTCTTGTGTATCAAGCCTTCAGGCTAGGGGTGTAAGTGGCTAACCCGCGAAACCCACTTATAGGCTAAAATAAGCCGCGAACCCGTTTATTTTGACCTATAAGTGGGTTCGCGGCTGACCCACTTACAGCCCTACTTCAGGCACATGAGGATCAATCATTTCATAGTGTGACTATTTGTAGTTATCTGTATGGCCGTAAATAATGGCCTCTATATTGTTCTGTATTGGAGTATCTCTCTACTATTTTTTTCTCTGAAGAAGAGCATTCTTTTACCTATTTTTGGTTTTCATAATTTAATGTGATGCATAATTTGATTCTGTTCTTTTTTAGATAAAGGAGGCTAATTTGATTCTGTTCTTGCAATTGTGGATGCACTGCAGGGAATGCATGTGTCGCTGAGCCAGCAGGTGCAGCAGGTTGAGGACACATATGAGCAGCTCTCTCTGGCTCTCGGGGAGGCAGCAACAACTGACCTTTTCAGAAAGTCCGTGTTCTTTTTCTCAATCGGGAGCAACGACTTCATCCACTATTACCTGCGCAATGTGTCTGGCGTCCAGATGCGTTACCTCCCATGGGAGTTCAACCAGCTTCTTGTCAATGCAATGAGGCAGGAAATCAAGGTGTGGTTATTGTTCTCCAGTTTATTCTCTCTGTGCAACATTTCTTGCCTCCTTATGATTCCAGTTTTAGTTTTTTGATCAGTGTGTTGCATATTGCCCAAAGGCTGTAGTATCGTGCTTAGCAGTGGCCAATGTTGTGAGTATGAATTTGATCCGTAATTTACGGCCCGTAAATATTCTGTGCTTGAAAGGTATCTGCTCTCAGTTCCACCACCCAGATGTGAATAGTTCTTTGTACTCCTGGTTAGGAATATGTTTGAGAAAAGGAGGAGTGTGGACCTCTGGGGACTGCAGATACATGAATTATGGAAAACTAGCTATGAACATTAATTTTTATGTTTCAAGGGCTAGAAAATTTTCAAATGTTTATAGAGAAACCTGATATAGTACACTTTTTCTGTAGGTTAAAGTTTTCAAATGGTGGATGAGTTTAAAACCGTGTACAGTTTTGGACTGAAGCTTCTTTGAGTTACTGAAATCCTCAGGCTGTACAGTTTTTCTGTAGTTATGAATTAGGTTAAAAGGATAGGAGGGTATTTCATCTGTACATTTGTAATATGGGAAAGTTAACTGATAAATACATGGAATTGATTAACTCAATGGATATTTATATCGTTGGCTGTTAGCAGTTCTGTGGTGTTATGTACTTTACATTCTCCGTCTACCGTACCTTAGTTTCAGATTTGAGGTAGTACGTTGCAACGTTGCTCAACAAGGACATACTTGTTTTTTATATGTTCATTTTGAATTCTTAACATTTTGATCAGATAAGGCGGCCCCAAATCTGATAGGGACTGATGTAAAGTCGATACTGAATATTGTCTTGGACTGAATACTGTGTTTGAGTCCCTTAGTTCTTGGTCTGCGCATACTTCCAGAGTGGATTGTACTTTGTACTGCCTCCCATTTGGAAGTGCAAGCTAAATGCGTGTTACTTTTGCTCAACTTGTAGGACACCATGCACACTACCAATATGCCCATGATCTTACCATGATACAAACATAATTCTCACATCATGCATAAATGCATAATGCACAATTTGATTTTCTCCCTAATTTATCCCCTTTCCTTTTTTGAACGGATAATTTTAATTTGCAAAAGAATTGGTAAAAATGGCCCCAAATTTCTATTCAGTAAATCTTTGGCAGAGCATGCGATGCACATTGATTGAGGCTGCATGCGCCATGAGTTTATTTGTACTGTCCAACATTTGAGAGCAGAAATTTCTGTTACCATTGTACTCATCCAAGTTGACTTGAGATGTTGCTTTCTTGTTTCTTAACCTTAGTAAATCAGTTACAATGATGCATTTTTTTATTATTTAGCCATATGCAGTTCTTGTCAGATTAGATTATTAAGCTATTTATATCTATATATAAGAGTTCTGTACTTCCTGCAGAATTTGTACAATATCAATGTTCGGAAGGTCGTCATGATGGGCCTCCCTCCTGTTGGCTGCGCACCTCACTTTCTCTGGGAGTACGGCAGTCAAGACGGGGAATGCATCGACTACATCAATAACGTCGTGATTCAGTTCAACTATGCCCTGAGATACATGTCTAGTGAATTCATCCGCCAGCACCCAGGCTCTATGATCAGTTACTGTGATACTTTTGAGGGGTCTGTGGACATACTGAAGAATCGTGACCGCTACGGTGAGCAGATGTATCATTGTTACTACTGTCAGATTGCCTTTCTGTCCTTAGGGAAGAACTCACATTACGATGGAATCACATTGTGCAGGTTTTCTGACCACCACTGATGCCTGCTGTGGGCTGGGGAAGTATGGGGGCCTGTTCATGTGTGTTCTTCCACAGATGGCGTGCAGCGACGCGTCGAGCCATGTCTGGTGGGACGAGTTCCACCCCACGGATGCTGTGAACCGAATCCTGGCTGATAATGTGTGGTCTGGTGAGCATACCAAGATGTGCTATCCTGTGGATTTGCAGCAGATGGTAAAACTCAAGTAGAACTGAACCAACCCTTAAACTCCATTGTAGTTACTTGCTCAGCTTTTGTGATTTTCTGACCAAAAAATGAAAAACTTAACAAGGCGGCACGGAGAAGTGTATATCTTGAGAGCTAGTAAAATTTTTTCGTAGATACAGATTTGTGTAGAAATACCATGTTCATATGTGGGCACTGCACTGTAAAGGATCTGTATGGCCAAACTGCATGAGGTGCTTGGTAGGTGAACATAAAACATTGCTGAGAACTCACCTGGTGTGCTTAACTCCCCAATTCTCACATGTTTTGTTTAACTTCTGATACGGTTATAGATTTATGGTGAAATGTTATTATGTGTTGCAGTTTTCTGCTTTTCTGGTGAATCCATATGGGCAACATCAAAGGTATTTCCAAGAACACAAGTTTTATGGTACTCTGGTACTAGCTATGTTCTGTTATCAACTGATTTATCCTCTTATAGATCAAAACACTGCTTCCACTGCCTCCTACTGCACTAATCAACAAGCAGTAACATCTTGTCCTGCTTTACACGGTCAGTTTACAAAATACAGCCTTGCCCATAACAGAGAGACAAATTACAACCTCCATATCAACATGCCCCTTAATTACAATCAACTCCTCAGCTGACCACCTTGTAGCTTGTTTAGATTCTGATTTGCAATCCTATCCTTCCAAGTGCTGACAGCTGGAGCTCTCTCTGTTGCTGCAACTAGAGAAACTCTGAATTCCAAAGCTCTGTATCTGAAGTCCTGATGCTTTAGCAAGCTGAGCTATCTCTCTTCCCATGGTTTGGCCATACTCATAAGAGAAAAATATAAGGAAGAGCATGGAGAGTAGCTGAGTAGCCATGGATGCTACAACTCTTCATCATCAACTCCAGAGTTGAGAACAAAACTGGGGAATGCCATTGTTATGTCCCTGAACACGAAAATCGACAAGGCAATACATCAGAATTTCATTTATAGTTGAAAGCAATGTAAAAGGTAACTACGGTGAAGAGAAACCTGAAAAATTGTAGATGGTACTTACTTCAGGTATGGGAGGGTCATGTTCTTCAGCAAAGCAGGGTTTTTACTTGCGAACGCCTTCCATTCATCCGGGTCGATCTTCCCGTCGCTGTTTAAGTCTGCTTGCTTGAACGTCTGTCAAAAAGTAGCATAAATTCAAACTTCAGTTATATGGGGAAGAAATAAATTGAGACTAGTATTACATCTTCATGTGCTTTACCTGATCCACAATCTGCTCAACAGCGTCATCAGAAAGGAGCAGATCTGATTCATTCAGAATGGCGAGCACCATTTCGTACAACTGCTTGATTCATAAGGGAAAAAAAAAGAGGTTTCAGTAACTTTAGGATTTTCTCTGTCAAAATGAAAATGCAGTACAAATATTGTTCCGAAACAATACTTTGTATCTCCAGTTTTCCACGCTCAGCCTCTGGATGTTTTAGGATTTAAACAAGTCTTTAACAGGGTTCAATACATATATTCTTCACCATTTATACAACCATTATTTATGCATGTTTTCTTTGATATCGCCAAGAAAACTGGTGTACCATCGCCATCAGTACTGAAGGCTAGCTATGCATGGAAATTACATTATGTTTTGTTATTTCTACAAAATATAGCCAATTAGTCATATTCTTTAGATAATGGAAGCTTTATTGAACCCAGCCAATTACACATCAAGGTGTTCAATGGAAAGAATTAAGGATATTGTTTAGTAACTCAATATACCTCTTCACGTTCGATGTATCCAGTTCCTCTCAGATCATACAATCTAAATGCAACTGCAAGAGGGAATACTGTCAGATGCCAAACCAAGAAGTGATATATGAATAAAATGAAGATTGATATGACATGAACAGAAGACAAAATTTGACTGCAAACAACTCCAGGATGTTGAAAAGCAAATCATGACAAAAGATGAAGATGATTCTTGGCTTATACCAGAATACTCTGACCAACTAACTGACTTATTTCTGCTTCTATCTTTTAAAAATCCTTGATTACCAGCAAGTATTGTTTTGAGGTAGTTTTAATATTAGCGACTAAGCTATTTCTTAAGACAACTGAGAAAAGAAGATTGTAATTAAGTACAACTTAACCATATGCAATGCAATGTGGAAGGGCTGAAGTAGGGTATTTCTTACAGGCAATCTTCTCTGCCAAAGGCGTTTCCGGGTGAAAAATGTTGAGGGATCGAACAAACTCCCCGAAATCAATAACACCATTGCGCTTAAGATCAAAGAGATCAAATATCTGCTTGAAATGAGAAGACTCTGTCAGTCTTTCACACATCTGGAATTGTTCTATAATTTAACGGAAACCATAAAATTGTGCTTAATTAGCTCAGAAAAGCTTTTGCAGTGAGACAGCAAAATACTCAGAAATTCAAAAAAGGCAAACCGACCCGATCGGCGAAAAGGTTCTTCTTGTTGCTGTTCCTGAAGAGTGCTAGCTGGAACTCCTCCTGTTCAAGAAAATGGCAGTTCAGAATTGACAAAATACCAGAATTTCAATACCAAATGGTCACTTTTGTCAAAAAGATGGCCTCCATTAAAAATGAAATTCAAGAGAGTTAACCTTGTGAATAAGCCCATCTTTGAATATGGAATGGCTTATCTTCTTGAACAGCTCATACAGGGCCTCCACCTCACTCACAGAAACTACAAGACGTAAATCACACAGGAGAAAGCATAATTAATCACTCTCCATTCCTGAACTGAAGAATGGTGTAATTCAGTGAGTTCTTACATGTGGTCTCTTTGGCCAGGATAGCAGGATCCTCATGCTCTGCAGCTCGTTTGAACTGCTTTGATGATATGCAGCCCATACAAACCACACCTTTATCTTGTTGTTAAGAAACGGCTTTCCTGCATAAAGTGATAACAGTCACCTCAAAGAACAGGATAAAGAGGCTGCTAACAAAAAAAAGTGAAGTGACATGAAAAAGTTAAGTGAAACATTAAAAACACAAGAAACACAGCCAAACAACAAGACCTCCTTTGGAACAGAGGAATTAGACTAAATCGGATGAAAATCCCATAAAAATTCCTGCGTTCCAAAGGAGCCCTGAATCGACAAACACAGAAGAATTAATCTCACCTAGGGAAGAAACAGAGGTGCCTTTGAACTTCTGGACATCAAGAAGAAGAAGTTGATGAGCAAAATAGAGGGGGGGGGGGGGGGGGGGGGAGTGTGTGTAGCTAGTGTGTCCCAAATACCTCCAAGCTTATTGCAGATACAATGGACATAGAAGAAGAAGATGGCACATATATTTATATATGCACATGCATAGCAAGCATCTGGGCTCCACAGTGTGGCACAGCCCCAGCTGTGCCGACCGTGTGTAGCAAGAGTTGACTTGAAATGGTTCCCTGTTACACGATCTGCAACATTAAATTATTACTACTGTTTTATATTGCTCAAGTTCAGCATCTGTCATTGCTGAAAAATAATCAGCAATGGCGGGAATAGATTAATACTAGTAGTTTACAGTGTGTATCTAGCCTAGATGTAGCAATATATACTTGTTGAGTAATGGACCATAAGAACGACGGTTTTGTTCTTAGTTAAGTGATGTTAACTAGGCCGTACCAAAGATACATGCATCCAAAACGGGCGTATTGTGATTGATGTTTAACGAAAAATGTCAACGTCGCCTTGTAGCTATCAAGCGTGGTTTTTTTTATATATATGGAAGGAGGGATCCAAAGGTGACGCATGCTCTTCCGCTTAACAAGGGATGGAGCGCCTGTTCATCAAGGACCTAATTTTGGCGTTATTTTCTCCCGTCTACCGGGAGGTACTAGTACTGGGAGGTACAAAATCAAATCTGACCATCTATCGTGAGAGGGTACAATTGAGAAACACAGAAGAGAAGCGAAACCATCTCCGGTGTCGCGCCACCGCTTTCTCATCTGTTTAAAGGGTTCGCTCTTCTCATCTGTTCAGAAGAATTCGGTAAAATTGTAAAGAAATTGAATGGCACAATTTCCTGAGTGCCTTGTAGTTGCAGACAGCAGCAGAATGTATAGTAAGCAGAACTAAGTGTTCACTGTTCAGGGCTTCAGACAGGCGCTTAGGCAGCCATAGTGTAGTGGTGCAAGCGCGCGTTTATAAGAAATGTGTGTATGCACGCGTATATGAGTGCCTACATTATATTATTTAAATAATAATAATAAACGTCTGGAACAGATATCGTTCACCATTATGTTACATTTAGGGGGACATATATGTGAAAACAAGCTAGGGGGACATATATGTGGAAACGAGTTAAGTGTTGGAAACTCATGAAAATCATACCTAAAAGTTTTGTAAATTCATAAAAAAAACTAGGAATAGGTGTAGATATGAAATACATTCTCATTAAATCTCAAGTTTAAACTCAACTTCAGTTAGGAGTAACAAAAAAGACAAATTTCAGGTGGATGGTACAAGACTATATTCATCCGAAATTTGTCTTTTTTTTTCTCTTAAGCGAAGTTGAGTTTGGATTTGAGATTTGATGATAATGTATTTCATATCTAGACCTATCTCTAGTAATTTGTTCATGAATTTACAAAACTTTTAGATATGATTTTCATGAGTTTCCAACACTTAACTTATTTTCACCGTTATGTCCTCTATATTTAGAGCACGTGCATTGTTACTTTTTAGGGGATCTATGGAAGAGAGAAGGAGAGAGTCCACTCTATACGTTGCATGATTTTTCTAAATAGGTTTCAACTTTCAAGGTAGTAACAAGTACTAGCTATGGCACCGAATTTCAAAGGAGATAGAGGGTACATTCCACTACTCATGAGAGGAAGAGATCAATCCTTAAATCTACTTTTAATAACAACAGATCTCACCCGTAACACCTTTGCTAGTTCTCTACATTATAGATTTCTTAACGAACTACTATTCTCGTGGTGAATCTCACTCGTAGCATCTTCGCTGGTCCTACACACATCAACCATGCTCTTAGAGCAAGTTTAATAGTATAACCAACTACTACCTCCAATTTATCTATAGCCATTCTAATAGCTCGTTCATACAATAGCTACATACTATACTATTAATACACGGTCCCACCTGTCGTGTCTTGAAGTCCGTGCTACAGCTGGCTATAAATCTGTAGCCCGCTGCCCTTCTCTCTTCTCATTTATCTTCTTAAAATATGTTTGTAGCTGGCTTATAGCATGCTATTGTACCTGCTCTTAGCTAGTCACTCAGTTAGAGAGACAGGAGGGGGAGAGAAATGGCCCTGGCGGCACGGTGGCGTGCTGATGTACGAACCATATATAGGTGTAGTAGACTAAGCACAAGGTTCAAATTAAATTTGAATTAGTTACCCCGGTAAAAGCTTGTTAAAAGTACCTACAGAAAATCAGCGTAAGTCTAAGGGTAAATCAATGGAGAAAAAAAAACAGCATATATAAATCGTGCAGGATTTCGCATGAACAGAGTGTCAGGCACGCGCATCAGAAACCATATCGACAATGACGAGCTAGCCGACGACAGCGATTGCCTGGCTGCCAACTAGGATATATATAATGTAACAAGAAAATTAATTAATTGGGTGAGATCGATACGTGAAACATGCTGATTAATTATCTTTTAATTTGGTCCACTTGTAGTAAGTTTGTTGTGAAAACCAATGATTTCTAATTATCAGGGGAAAGTGAATATATTAACATTGCCCGTGGAACTCGAATCTTGCAAAATATTTGGCAGGGAAAGCCAATCAGATGCTAAATTCAACCCACACCAAGCTACCATGTTGTTTATGTACACTTGGCTGCAGATGATAGTGATATACTATAGGCTGATTGTATCCAGACATCTTATACTTTTTCAGTAAAGCTGGGCGTCAGCCTTTTGTTCTAAAATTAGGGTTGAAAGTGATTCGAATAATTTCCATCCGACCGGACCTTTTTTCGGATTCGGATAGTTTCGGTCGGATATATCTGAAAATTTTTGAATTCGGATTTTTTTTTCGGATATGAAAACGAATATGATATAGGTGATATCCGTCAGATATTATCCGATATTTTCCGTCGGATATCCGACTTACACATAAGGCTGCCATAATCCATAAGCCAGCCCAACCCAGAGGAGTCAAATCAAAGTTCTTGAAAAAAATGAATTTCGAATTGAATTTTATGATACTGAATGAACTCATATGAAAAAGTTGTCAAAAACAAAGTTGTAGAACTCATTAAGATCTACCAATTTTATTTTGGTCATTTCTCCATCCGAGTTTCATTGAACTATATAAAATTTGAATTTTAAAATATAAGAAATTCAAATAATTCTTCGGGTAGTAAATGATTTCAAATGGAAAAATTGTCAAAAACAAAGTTGTATAACTTACCAAGATCTATAACTTTTATTTTGGTCATTTTCCTATATGACTTTGTTTGAACAGTTTGAATTTGAATTTGAAAATATGACAACTTCAAACAATATTTTCAAATACTAAATGATTTCAACTGAAAAAGTCATCAATAACAAAGTTGTATAAATCATCAAGATCTATAACTTTTATTTTGGTCATTTCTTCATCCGATAAAGTGACAGTAACATTGTTCACAAAATTTACATATCTCTCATTTGGTTTTACAATCTATAAGAGAGGTATATAAATTTTGTGAACAATATTACTATAACTTCGTCGGATGAAGAAATGACCAAAATAAAAGTTCTATGTCTTGATGAGTTCTACAACTTTTATGTTTTATTTACTGCTTCAAAATATCATTTGAAGTTTTGAAATTCAAATTTTTAATTGATAAAACAAAGTCACAAGAAAAAATGGCCAAAATAATAGTAGTAAAAACACAATAACATGATAGAGCATGATTTTAGAAACATTTAGGAAAAAGAATCATCCAATTTGGAGTTCTTATGAGTGAGATAAACTAGTTTCAAATTTTTAAAATTTATTTTCGCATACGGCTCATTAACGTCTGTATTTTTCCATGCGGTCTCTTAAGTGGTCCGCATGCAAAAATGGGCTCATTTTGGCATCTTAAGGAGTAGTATGCGAAAATACCAATGCGGCAAGTTGTGGTCCGTTTGCAAAAATCATAGGGTCTTGTACACAAAAATCGTTTGTGTAGTATTGAGGGGTTTTTATATTTCGATTAATATTCATCACCGTATTCGCTTCGCTTCGTATTCACTCCATATTTGTATTCGATAATATTCGATTTCGTTTTCATATTTGGGTTTCCGATTCCGATTTTGATTCCGAAAAAATTATGAAAACGAATATAATAGAGCTAGTTTCCGACCGTATTCGATCCGTTTTCATCCCTATCTAAAATATAGTATAGGCTGATAAAATAAGATGGGTCGTAACTGTCGACGTTTGATAGTCACGACTAGGGAATTTGAATAGTATGGGATCGTTGGTACCAGGGTATATGCGAGATTGAGGTAAAAGAGATGCAGACAGTGATTTTTATACAGGTTCGAGCCCCTTATCTGATAGGTAATAGCCCTACATCCTGTTGGCCGAAGCCGGTGCTGCTCTTTATTCATCTGGATCACACAAATACAATAATTGGGATAATCTATCTATCCATCGTCGACTTGGCGGCTATATAACCAACTCGTAGTCGATGACAGGGTAATCTTCCTCCTCGAATCTGTACTCGGCGAGAACAGAGATGGCGCTAGATACCTCTTGCCGGCCCATGTAGGTGCCGGATAGGGCATGGCTAGGCTAATCTCTGATGTTGATATACAACGGCGTATTGGCTTGTATTGGCTTGTGGCTTTGTAGATTGTGGTGGGTGTGTCCCCTCTCCTCCTAGGGGGCTTGTATTTATACCCACAGGTGACCCCTTGTCCAAGTAGAACTAGGGAGATAAATATGGATACGATCTGAGTAGTGAGTAGTCCTTGTCGTTTCTATGTAGAACTCTTCTTCTCCTTCCTTATCCGGAACTCCTTCTATATACGAGGTTTTTTTTCCGTATAAGACATGGCATGTGGTGGGCCTTGCCGAGCTTAGTCGATTACTATTGGGTATCCATAACCCTGACAGTAAAAACTTCTTAACAATGCATGCAAAAATGTATTCTTGAGTAATTAAAGGTCTATATTTAAAGAATATGACAAAATTAAATATATATTACCATAATATTGGTTACAAATATAATAATTCTTTTTTTAAGTAGATATGATTAAGGTTCAAGGGGAAAATTTCTATTGCCCCTTAATAAATGAGGGATGTT